ATTTGGTCACCTGATGGAGTTTTAGGACACCATTGGGTCACCTGATGGAGTTTAGGACACCATTGGGTCACCTGATGGAGTTTTAGGACACCATTGGGTCACCTGATGGAGTTTAGGACACCATTGGGTCACCTGATGGAGTTTAGAACACCGTTGGGTCACCTGATGGACTTTAGGACACCATTGGGTCACCTGATGGAGTTTTAGGACACAATTGGGTCACCTGATGGAGTTTTAGGACACCATTGGGTCACCTGATGGAGTTTAGGACACCATTTGGGTCACCATTTGGAGTTTAGGACACCATTTGGTCACCTGATGGAGTTTTAGGACACCATTGGGTCACCTGATGGAGTTTAGGACACCATTGGGTCACCTGATGGAGTTTTAGGACACCATTGGGTCACCTGATGGAGTTTAGGACACCATTGGGTCACCTGATGGAGTTTTAGGACACCATTGGGTCACCTGATGGAGTTTAGGACACCATTGGGTCACCTGATGGAGTTTAGGACACCATTGGGTCACCTGATGGAGTTTTAGGACACCATTGGGTCACCTGATGGAGTTTAGGACACCATTGGGTCACCTGATGGAGTTTAGGACACCATTGGGTCACCTGATGGAGTTTTAGGACACCATTGGGTCACCTGATGGAGTTTAGGACACCATTGGGTCGCCTGATGGAGTTTAGGACACCATTGGGTCACCTGATGGAGTTTTAGGACACCATTGGGTCACCTGATGGAGTTTAGGACACCATTGGGTCACCTGATGGAGTTTTAGGACACCACTGGGTCACCTGATGGAGTTTAGGCGACCATTGGGTCACCTGATGGAGTTTTTAGGACACCATTGGGTCACCTGATGGAGTTTTAGGACACCATTGGGTCACCTGATGGAGTTTAGGACACCATTGGGTCACCTGATGGAGTTTAGAACACCGTTGGGTCACCTGATGGAGTTTTAGGACACAATTGGGTCACCTGATGGAGTTTTAGGACACCATTGGGTCACCTGATGGAGTTTAGGACACCATTGGGTCACCTGATGGAGTTTTAGGACACCATTGGGTCACCTGATGGAGTTTAGGACACCATTGGGTCACCTGATGGAGTTTAGGACACCATTGGGTCACCTGATGGAGTTTAGGACACCATTGGGTCACCTGATGGAGTTTTAGGACACCATTGGGTCACCTGATGGAGTTTAGGACACCATTGGGTCACCTGATGGAGTTTAGGACACCATTGGGTCACCTGATGGGGTTTTAGGACACCATTGGGTCACCTGATGGTGTTTAGGACACCATTGGGTCACCTGATGGAGTTTTAGGACACCATTGGGTCACTTGATGGAGTTTAGGACACCATTGGGTCACCTGATGGAGTTTTAGGACACCATTGGGTCACCTGATGGAGTTTAGGACACCATTGGGTCACCTGACGGAGTTTAGAACACCGTTGGGTCACCTGATGGAGTTTTAGGACACAATTGGGTCACCTGATGGAGTTTTAGGACACCATTGGGTCACCTGATGGAGTTTAGGACACCATTGGGTCACCTGATGGAGTTTTAGGACACCATTGGGTCACCTGATGGAGTTTAGGACACCATTGGGTCACCTGATGGAGTTTAGGACACTATTGGGTCACCTGATGGAGTTTAGGACACCATTGGGTCACCTGATGGAGTTTTAGGACACCATTGGGTCACCTGATGGAGTTTAGGACACCATTGGGTCACCTGATGGAGTTTAGGACACCATTGGGTCACCTGATGGAGTTTAGGACACCATTGGGTCACCTGATGGAGTTTTAGGACACCATTGGGTCACCTGATGGAGTTTAGGACACCATTGGGTCACCTGATGGAGTTTAGAACACCGTTGGGTCACCTGATGGAGTTTTAGGACACCATTGGGTCACCTGATGGAGTTTTAGGACACCATTGGGTCACCTGATGGAGTTTAGGACACCATTGGGTCACCTGATGGAGTTTAGAACACCGTTGGGTCACCTGATGGAGTTTTAGGACACCATTTGGTCACCTGATGGAGTTTTAGGACACCATTGGGTCACCTGATGGAGTTTTAGGACACCATTGGGTCACCTGATGGAGTTTAGGACACCATTGGGTCACCTGACGGAGTTTAGAACACCGTTGGGTCACCTGATGGAGTTTTAGGACACAATTGGGTCACCTGATGGAGTTTTAGGACACCATTGGGTCACCTGATGGAGTTTAGGACACCATTGGGTCACCTGATGGAGTTTTAGGACACCATTGGGTCACCTGATGGAGTTTAGGACACCATTGGGTCACCTGATGGAGTTTAGGACACCATTGGGTCACCTGATGGAGTTTAGGACACCATTGGGTCACCTGATGGAGTTTTAGGACACCATTGGGTCACCTGATGGAGTTTAGGACACCATTGGGTCACCTGATGGAGTTTAGGACACCATTGGGTCACCTGATGGAGTTTAGGACACCATTGGGTCACCTGATGGAGTTTTAGGACACCATTGGGTCACCTGATGGAGTTTAGGACACCATTGGGTCACCTGATGGAGTTTAGGACACCATTGGGTCACCTGATGGAGTTTAGGACACCATTGGGTCACCTGATGGAGTTTTAGGACACCATTGGGTCACCTGATGGAGTTTAGGACACCATTGGGTCACCTGATGGAGTTTAGGACACCGTTGGGTCACCTGATGGAGTTTTAGGACACCATTGGGTCACCTGATGGAGTTTTAGGACACCATTGGGTCACCTGATGGAGTTTAGGACACCATTGGGTCACCTGATGGAGTTTAGAACACCGTTGGGTCACCTGATGGAGTTTTAGGACACCATTTGGTCACCTGATGGAGTTTTAGGACACCATTGGGTCACCTGATGGAGTTTAGGACACCATTGGGTCACCTGATGGAGTTTTAGGACACCATTGGGTCACCTGATGGAGTTTAGGACACCATTGGGTCACCTGATGGAGTTTAGAACACCATTGGGTCACCTGATGGAGTTTAGGACACCATTGGGTCACCTGATGGAGTTTAGAACACCGTTGGGTCACCTGATGGAGTTTTAGGACACCATTTGGTCACCTGATGGAGTTTTAGGACACCATTGGGTCACCTGATGGAGTTTAGGACACCATTGGGTCACCTGATGGAGTTTAGGACACCATTGGGTCACCTGATGGAGTTTAGGACACCATTGGGTCACCTGATGGAGTTTAGGACACCATTGGGTCACCTGATGGAGTTTTAGGACACCATTGGGTCACCTGATGGAGTTTGTCGGTTCCTCGCCACTGCTGCCTTTGGCTTGCTCAGTTGGGGATATTCAAATTAATTAACCAATTAATAAAATCCTTTATCAGCTCTACCAAACGTGGATGTTTTTCCACTAAGAAATGAACATTGTTATTATGTTTCGATTGATATATTGTGAAAAGCTCTATATAAATATACTTGACTTGACTTGACTAAGAACTTTTACTGACATTTAGGAGAACTCTCAATGGTGTTTTTTGGATACGGTCTTAAAAGCTTTCTCAAAATGTTAGCACAAAAACATAGTTCATACATCATTCATGGAAGGTAGTTTCTGAATGTTTACACTAGGCAATGAGGACTTTGAACTTCCCCTTCTGCAACAGCTCTGCGTCTGCGTCTGATTCTGATCTGAACTCATTATTTCTCTGTCTCCACCATCTCCACCAAACACCCGGAGTCAAGCCTTCAACGTTAAAGTAAAGTCTTATCTGTCTAAACTGATTCGAGTCTCGATGTTCTCTGTGTGTCAGTGTGTGTTACTTTCCTCCAGTTTCCACAGGTCAGAGACTGGGAATGGATGATTCCTGGGGGAATGTGTGGAGGATTTTTGCATAACCAAGAAAAAAAATGTTCTTAAAACATTTAGAAAACTGGACGTTCAGAAAACAACATTTTCAAAATGATAAAATGAATAGAATGCTTATACATAAACCCAAACCAAAAAATAAAGTTCTTAATACACTAAAAAGTTTAGCCTACTTGTTTATGTTATGTTGTTCATGTGACCAATTGTTGATAAAGAAAAAATGTCACGTTGCAGTATTGGAAATATTTCAATATTTTAAACAGTGAAAGGCGATCCAGTGGATATCACACAAACGTTTTGCTAGAGTTATGTCAGTGAAGAAGTCTCTAACCCCAGTCAGTTATTCACCTAATCAGCAATATCATCAGAGTCTGATGTCCAGCCGGATCATGTTGTGCTCAGATCTGAAGCGCTCATTTGAGCTTCTCCAAAATCAGGATTTAATCACAGAAGAGGAAGAGAAATGATCTCAGGTTTGATGATCTGTGTGAATGGAGGACAGGACTGCTGGTGTGTAGTTGTAGAGCGTCACTCGCTCGCACTCCTTCATCAAACACACACTTTATTTAAACGCGTCTCACTCTTTTAAACAGAGACACAAGCACTTATTGTTTTAGAGACCAATTTAATCATGTTTAGAGAGGGTTAGGGTTGCCTTCCTCTCGCATGTTGAGAGTGTGTGGCCTAGTAAACAGTGAATGAATGAATGAGGCATTTATATGCGCTTTCAGATGTACTACTGTACTACGATCTCATCAAAGGATCTCTCCTCAGTGTGGTTTTCTTCTCGTCTCATTAGGATGCTGTCTGATGTACAGTGTGTTTCCCAGCTTGTCTTATTCTCAGACTATTCGTATGTAAATGAGCTGCGTTACGATTGGCTGACCACCAGTGTTTCTCACAGATGCTTGACCTCTGACCTTTACGCAGTCACCACTGAAGCTTTAAGACTCTCAACGTCAAAGTCTTTTTTTTCAAAGAGCAAGGAGCAAGCTGTTTTTCATCATATGTCACCATTATATATTTATTTTGTTTTATTACTTGATTGTCTTTCAGAGTTGTGCTGTGGACGCAAGTCTACGCTTGCTGTTCTCATAATCCTCATAAATCTGGTCTGTGATTGCAGGAGACCGAGCTGTTGGAAGTCTCCGTCATCAAGGATACGAGAAATGGGAGATTTGCCAAGATGCCAAAGGTAATAAATGTGTGAGTGCCTCAATCATGTGTTCTCTCATGCGGAGCGGAGCGGACTGAGTGTTTGTGCAAGATGAAAATGAACAGACATTATTGTCTCCACATTTCTGGCACAAACACCGTATGATTAGAAACGTAGATCTGTCCGGAGAGGAACGTGCTGACGAGAAGCAAAGCTGCTCTGCGCCGGATATGCCAGGAAGATTCACGTGTCCCACAAATAGCTGGAGAAAGCTGGAGCTCCTAGATGAAACACAGAGAGAGAGAGAGAGAGAGAGAGAGAGAGAGAACACTGTCGTTTACTATCTAATGGCTTTCATCTCGTTTTCCAGAGATGTTGTCTTTGCTGGCATGGATGGTTTCCAGCATTCATTCGTGCTGATGTGAGAATATGTCATGAAGACTCTGAGACGTTGATGTTAAAGAGCATCGCGAGCGTTGACTCGGACGATGGATGTTTCAGAGGTCACAACACACAGTTTCCCATGTCATAATCGTGACCTTACAGGAGGGTCAAAGACTGATGGAGAGAGGAGAACTTTCAAAAACCCTTATTTTAAAAACACATTTTTCCTTTCTTTCCTTCAATTTGTAGAAAAAAATGAAACACAAAACAAAAAATGATCTGTGAATTTATATGGAAACAAGCTTTCCATCTTCACTCCCCTCTTGTTACGTTACATTCAGAGATCGACTACTTTTGACTGACAACAACATTCCAGCCAGTGGAAACACAGTCGTACAAAACCTTTATTTTAGTGAACTTTGTGTACACAAACAATGAATTCAATGCTCAAGTTCATGTGTACTTGGTGATATTCAACACAAGCTTCACATCGTCTAGAATGAAGCCCATAAAACAAAAGTGGAATCATTTATTACAGAATATTTCATTCATTGACACTGAGAGGTTGGCTAGTAGCAGATCTCTGTGAAGCTGTCATGGGGATAAACTGAATGAAGACTGAATGGCCAGAACTGATGCGAACATCTCATTCTCTCCGGCAGTCAATCAGTTTAATCGCACTTAATGTGTTTCCGAGTCCCGCTCTCTGTTATCTGGGTTCTCACAGTCAGACGACCTGCCTCTCCAAACCCTTTATCAGCCCACATTCCTCCGCATACAGTGGGACCTTGTCCTGGTTTGTTCGCTGGATTCCCTAAAGCCCTGTTCGGATTACACTCGCCCCTGATGGTGAAACCCTAGACGGAGGACGTCGGGGTAACTGCGGCGCCACACCTGCGACGTCGTTTATGGATTTAATGTAGTTTCACCAGTAATAGTCTCAGTTCTCACTGACACTCATGAAAAGCTTTTGGGACGGGGATGTATGCCCTGTGGCTCTGCGATCGATAGACTCAACGTGTGTGCATGTCTTACCCAGCTATACAGCGTAGAGCGTGAACACTCAGATGTCTCCTGTGCACGGATCACGTTTGTGTGGAACTTCTACAAACCATTTTGAAAGTTCAGAAACATGAATGTGTATATTTGCAGAGGAATGGACTTGCGTTCATGAAGTGTGAGGATGAAGATGAAGTGTGAGAATGAAGATGAGGATGAAGATGAAGTGTGAGGATGAAGATGAAGTGTGAGGATGAAGATGAAGTGTGAGGATGAAGATGAGGATGAAGTGTGAGGATGAAGATGAGGATGAAGATGAAGTGTGAGGATGAAGATGAAGTGTGAGGATGAAGATGAAGTGTGAGGATGAAGATGAGGATGAAGTGTGAGGATGAAGATGAAGTGTGAGGATGAAGATGAGGATGAAGTGTGAGGATGAAGATGAGGATGAAGATGAAGTGTGAGGATGAAGATGAAGTGTGAGGATGAAGATGAAGTGTGAGGATGAAGATGAAGTGTGAGGATGAAGATGAAGTGTGAGGATGAAGATGCAGTGTGAGGATGAAGATGAGGATGAAGTGTGAGGATGAAGATGAGGATGAAGTGTGATGATGAAGATGAATATTTTCCTTTACTGAAGTGTTGGAGAAGCTGAAGTTGTCTGGAGATCCTCTACACTGTGCCGTATGGCAACAACAAAACACAATCTTTCCACAGTTCTTTTTCATGTTGGCTTTTAAAGGTGCAATGTGTAAAAAGTTGAGTATCTATTAACAGAAATGCAATATGACATCCATAACTATGTTTTCAGTGGTGTATAAAGAACTTACTTAATTACCCGTAATGTTTTTATTACCTTAGAATGAGACATTTACAAAGCTGGAAGCTAGCCTTACACTCCGTGAGTAGTGACTTTTCCCTTCTGCGTGGTGTAAAATATGTAGTTGGGATTGTTTCATATAACTTAGTTCTCCATCGCTGTGTTATGGGTTTGTTATGTGGGGATAGATGTGCTGTTACGTTCGCGAGACAGCTGATTAGTACTCGTGTCATTGACCGTAAAACAGTACGTTACAGCAATCACTAACCCGTCGATCACGAAGAGTTTTCAAAATCAGAGAAAAAGCCTTTTGTGTGTAGTAAATGGTGTCTATGGGATGCGGAGGTGTGATTGTAACAGCGCGCGCACCTCCGACCTTTGAACTCATGCGGACGTGTCGAGTATAAACAAGGCTTTACGCTTTACCCAGCTCAGACACAGTCACAGCTCATATTAGCCAGCTAAACTTTTACTACCCTGTTAGAAAAACATATATAGCTGCATAGTTTCATGCGGCTCTTCTGCCTCGCTGCATCATGGGTTTGCTATGTGGGGAGAAATGTGCTGCTGTGCTGGTTACGTTTGTGAGACAATCAGCGGATTACTATTATTATATTAAATTATATATTAAAACCCTTGATCCTCACCTGACTATGGCTTTGTAAACTGTATCCATGATGTGGTTTATAATGGACTGTGGTACAGAAACAGTGACAATGTTACACACTCTTGGCTTACTCTGGCTATTCTCTGCTGTCTCAGCCGACGAGATGTTTGACCCATTTGAGCCACCGTAGCTTCTTCGAAAGGGAGGGGTGAGCTGAGCCCTTAGTGCAAACCTGGTGCAAACTCGCAAGCGAACCGCTAGATGTCGCTAAAAATCCCACACTGCACCTTTAAAGACAAACTAAGCAAAAATAATTTGCCTGTTTTAAAAAAGGTGACAAAAGGATAAGAATGGCAGACCATTTAAGCCAAAGTTGGCACTTTTTAATATAATTTTTGATTGAACTTTTTTGTCTTCCTTCTTAAAAATAAGAACAAATAAGATCATTTCAAATAATAGGACAGTAACCCATCAACGTTTTAATCTGGATCTGTCAGGTTGCTTAATGGCCATTCAGGAAACGCCTTCTGCTAAATGACAAGGGTTTGTGTTTCCACTGAGGTTATTTGTGTGGTATTTCTTGAATAAATCAATGTACATGTAAATTTAGGTTAAAAAACAGTTTTGTGTTGCTTCTCAATGCAGACTTTGTGTTTGGCCTTGTCCGCTCCTCAAAAGGCAGTTAGTTGCGACTGCATGATGTAACAGTGCTGTAATGTCATGCTAATGCAACCATAGCTACCATGCTAATCTGTATCCGCTGCCTCGTCGCTAGACAGCTTTACTGCAGTTCCAGCTTTTCCCAGCCTTTCCTTCTGGGTCTCTTTCTAACACAAAGCACATCAGGCACTGCCTGGGCAGCATCGAGCTCTCCATCTCCACATGCGGCGAGCGTTTCCTCGGGTTGCTAGCGGTGATTCTGTTTCACATGCGGCGAGCGTTTCCTCGGGCTGCTAGCGGTGATTCTGTTTCACATGCGGCGAGCGTTTCCTCGGGTTGCTAGCGGTGATTCTGTTTCACATGCGGCGAGCGTTTCCTCGGGTTGCTAGCGGTGATTCTGTGTCACATGCGGCGAGCGTTTCCTCGGGTTGCTAGCGGTGATTCTGTGTCAGTCTTTGGCAGGTCGCTGTTGTTTTCTCTGCAGAAGAACAGAGCCTGGTTTGTTGCTGTCCGATGAAGCTGCACAAATGCATTGAGACTGTTGCTTTCTGGTCTTACGCAACTTTATTGCACATGAAAAATGTCTTGCTTTGTTGACACACACACACACACACACACACACACACACACACACACAGACGTGCTTGTAATGACTGTAAGAGGACAGTTACTATCCCTCGATGGTCAGATCTGATCGCCTCTCCTGCTTTCTGCTCTACACTTTACATTCAAACACACCAACACACGAGGCACGGATGTCAGTGTGTGTGTGTGTGTGTGTGTACTGTGTGTTTGGCACTACTGTTTTGTGTTGTTTTTCCAGCGGGAAATCTTCTTCTGAACACTTGCAGCTGTCTTACTTAGTAAAATCTGCTTAGTAAACCTCGCCAGAACATCCGACTGTTCGTGTTAAGTTTGGCCAGCAATGGGAACTGAACACAAATATTGTTCTGGAAATGACAGAAAGCAAGAAACAAAGTATATATTTACTCTGATAACGAACCCTTGTCTCTTTATCTCAAACAGTAAATGAGATTGATGCTGCCGGAAAGGAGCGCTGTGTTGATAAATGTCCATGTGTGTTTCCGAGTCTGGTTCCTGTGTTAGTTCGCTGATGATGATAAGTGTGTATAAACTTCAGTCCAGAATCATCCATAACTGTAGATCTGCAACACATCTCGCATTCTTGCGGAGACACAGTCTTTCTGCAGCCACTGACACCTTTACACTCACACACCTTCATCAGAAACCTCTCATTATATATCAGTAGTGTTCTGCCAGTCTGGAGTCAGTGTAGTTAACCCTAACCCACATGAGAAGAGCACGTGTTCCTGCTGAGTTTCAGACCGACAAGCCTGATTGTTTGAGAGGAGAGTCAGTTCATTAGCCTGGATGCCAGCCCGAACTCCGCCCACAACATTTTTTGGTCGGGAAGTTCGGTCTGGACTCGATCCATTGAGGAGTAATTATGATCAGGCAAGAAATGAACGGGCCAATCAAATTGCCAGGGCGGGCTTTATACGATGATGGACAGATGATCTGCAGGGACGTAATCATCACGTTATCAAAGAGCGCTGAACTGGTTTCCCTCAGAGACGACTGCAGCTGGAGAATTGAGATTCAGCTGTCGTGTCTGTTGTGAAATAAATCGACAGCGCATTCATTTTAACAGACAATCAGAGAACTGCAATCAAGGCATTTGTCGATCAGAAAGATATGTTTGCCGTCCTTCCTACATGATTCGGGAAAAGTGTAACTCATCAGCTGGTTCTGACGGTCGCTAAGAAGATGGGACGTAATGAAAAGCCTGTGGTCGTTGTGGTTTCTCCTTTGGTGGCACTCATGGAGGATCAAGTAAAAGAAGCAACACTCGTTATTTAACTTCTAATCTAAAATAAGTAAGTTCTGTAGTTGAAAACTGTGCTATGCAAAGGAGTTGACTTACTGCGTTGCTCTGATTGGTTGTAGGTTTACCGACTATCCAATTGAGTGCAGAGTTGTTGTTTTTTCCTGGTTCGGTTACGACACGCCTCATAATCGGCCCAATGGAGCGGTATCAGACTCATAGTCTTAATTTTTGTCTGTTTTTTATATCACTGTACTGTTTCTGTATACTGGAAGCTTCTTCTGTCATCAAGACAAATTCCTTTTGTGTGTAAACATACTTGACAAATGATTTCCTGATTCTGATAAAACATCATCAAGCACATCTGGAGTGCCGTATCCTTCATTAAAACAATCTGAAATTGGATCTGTGTGAATGAGATTACACATCATTCATCATCATTGACGGCACACGGCATAATGTGCTTCCCTTTCTTCCAGCACAAATATATATGTAACAAGGTTCAGGGAAGAAGGAGGCAGGAACCGGATGACAATAAATAATAAAACTTTATTTTAAACGAAATAAACAAATTACCTGCCAGCAGTTCCTCACAGAACTGCTGGCTACCCAAAATAAAACATAAATAACGGCCAGCAGCCCCTCGCGGACGACTGCTGGCTTACCAAATAAAATATAAAACGCAAACAAAATCAGGCCTGTTCCTCTCTCTCGATCATCCACTCGGTCGCTCCCCCTTTATGGCTCCGCTCCTCCGTGAGAGATCAGAATGAAGCTGTCCCTGCTGGTTCGCCGCTTCAGGGCCCCGAAGTGGCTGTACTGAATTCAGTTCGGTTCTCATCCACTCATATTTCTAGGGGTCCTCCCTATGTCGTGGACCCCGAGCAGGCTCTCGTTATGTTATCATTTAGGATTCACAAACTCCTTCTACAGGATAGAGTGTCGTTTCCCGTGCTCCCCCTCAGATAGATTGGGGACTTCTCCACAGAAGCCTTTGAAGCCGAAGATGGATCTGAGGACCGTTGATGGATCTGACTGACTCCACTGGTGTCAGATCTCTGAGGGCAGCCCTGACCGGTGTGGAGCGGTGTACATCTCAGTATACGGTGCCCGTCTCATCTCGGTGCCCTCAGAAGGCCGTTCTGCCAACCATGCCACCCTTGGTGCCTTGGGGTGGAGCAGTCTCCAGCGAGCACATGGAAAAATGCGGTTCTACAGATACTAGACACGTGACTTTCAAATGAGAGATTGGTATCAAAGAGCACACCCAGGTTCCTAACCGATGATGAAGACTTAACAGAGCAGCCATCGAGTGTTAGACAGTATTCTAGGCTGTTACGTGTGGAAGTTTTTTGTCCAATAATTACAATCTCTGTTTTTTCAGAATTTATTAGTAGGAGATTACTAGTCATCTACTTCTTTATATCCGCTATGCATTCTGTTAATTTTGTTGGTCAATCAAACAATCAAGCTTTATTTCTATAGCACATTTAAAAAACAACAAGGTTGACCAAAGTGCTGTACAATTCAAATAAATAAAATACAATAAATACAAATAATTTGACTTGGTAATTTGAATTTGGTAAGTTTCGTTAGGTTGTGAAGAAATATACAGCTGAGTATCATCAGCATAACAGTGAAAGCTACTTCCATGTTTCCTAATGATATCTCCAAATGGTAGCATTTACAGAGTGAACAGCAGCGGTCCTAGTACTGAGCCTTGTGGTACACCATACTGAACTCGTGATGGATAAGACATCTTTTCATTTACTGCTACACACTGATAACGGTCAGATAAGTGTGATTTAAACCATGCTAATGCAGTTCCACAAATGCCAACATAGTTTACATAGCTGCAGTCAAGAAATTCAAGTTCAAAATGCTGACATTCAAACAGATTGTGACTCAAATCAGATCTGAGGACTGGTTTGTCACGCTAGATCTAAAAGGTGCATACTTTCATGTCTCCATCCTCCCTCAGCCCCTTCATACCCCTCGTGTCTTCATCACACCTGTCCTGTTAACAGCGCTCGATGACCAGGCTTTACTGGGACGAAGGGACAGGGATCGTCCGCCTGTGAGGAATGTGTGTGCAGTCTGTCCAAGCACAGGCGCTTGTGTGATTGATAGCCTTTTATTTCAACACTTCTCATTTTATTGATTATGTGTGCAACTGCATATGCGGCCCGGTTAATTTTTATTGTCTGTCAGACGCTTGTGCATTTGCAGTCCAGGGCTGCGTTTCCCAAAAGCATCGTAAGCATAAATAGATTGTAGATCCATTGCCACCGATAGACTCTGTATCATCTTTCAGGACTGAGAAACAGTCCAGCTCTGAGACGGACCCGCATCAAACCCCTTCACTGTAGTCAAGCTGAACCGGAACCAAGACAGTCCGGGTTCGTCACAGTGATATTCGACCACAGAAGAGGATCAGTGAGATCCACACTAGAACACGGGCCGACTGATCCGGTCCAGCGCTGATCTGACCGCATGAATCCCATTGGCCAGTGTTGTGTTGTGTTGTGTGTGATGTGTGTGTATCGCTCCTCAGGACCCTAAGCTGCGGGAGCTGCTGGACGTGGGGACTCTGGAGGGGAAGATGGAGGACCGGACGCTCACGGTGGTCAGCGGTCAGGACATGGTCACCATCTCCTACTACAACTTCGTGGCCTTTCATGAGGAGGTTGCCAAGGTAACGCTGCTCCAACACCACACCATAACCAGGATCCGTGTGTGATCACAGGTGTATGTGTGTGTGTGTGTGTGTGCGTGGTAACACTGCTCCAACACTATAACCAGGATACATGTGTAATCTCGTGTGTGTGTGTGTGTGTGTGTGTGTGTGCAGGAGTGGACCGAGCAGCTCTTCAGCCTCGCCTCAAACCTGCTGGCGCAGAACATGTGCAGAGAGTCCTGTCTGGAGAAGATGTAAGTGTCGAGTCGAGTCTCCTTCATCTAAAGACTGTGTCTCACAGCAGCGTTACAGTGCTAACAGGAGATTACAGTCACAGAGAGTGTTTCGGCTTTACAGCAGATCTAGTGTAAAGTTATCGTCCAGATAAAGTTAGTTCTGATTGATTCACTTCCGTCGTAAAGATCATTAGTGATTTACTCAGCGGCCGCTCACACGACACCGCTAACACGACGCCGCTAACACGACGCCGCTAAAACGACGCCGCTAACACGACACCGCTAACACGACACCGCTAACACGACACCGCTCACACGACACCGCTAACACGACACCGCTAACACGACACCGCTAACACGACACCGCTAACACGACACCGCTCACACGACACCGCTAACACGACACCGCTAACACGACACCGCTAACACGACACCGCTCACACGACACCGCTAACACGACACCGCTAACACGACACCGCTAACACGACACCGCTAACACGACACCGCTAACACGACACCGCTAACACGACACCGCTCACACGACACCGCTAACACGACACCGCTAACACGACACCGCTAACACGACACCGCTCACACGACACCGCTAACACGACACCGCTAACACGACGCCGCTAACACGACGCCGCTAACACGACGCCGCTAACACGACACCGCTAACACGACACCGCTCACACGACACCGCTAACACGACACCGCTAACACGACACCGCTAACACGACACCGCTAACACGAGAACACACACTCTGAAACATGGATCTGTGAAAATGGTGATTCGAGCACATGCAAATCACGCGCATAGTGTATAGTCTTTTGATGGATAAGACATCTCTTCATTTACTGCTACACACTGATAACGGTCAGATAAGAGTGATTTATACCATGCTAATGCAGATCCACAAACGCCAACAGACTGCTCTAGTCTATTTAAAAGAATGTTGTGGTCAATTGTGTCAAATGCAGAGCTAAGATCAAGTAACACTAATAGAGAGATACGACCATGATCGGATGATAAGAGCAGATGTGTGTGTGACTCTGACGACAGATGTGTGTGTGACTCTGACGAGAGATGTGTGTGTGACTCTGACGAGAGATGTGTGTGTGACTCTGACGACAGATGTGTGTGTGACTCAGACGAGAGATGTGTGTGTGACTCTGACGACAGATGTGTGTGTGACTCAGACGAGAGCTGTGTGTGTGACTCTGACGACAGATGTGTGTGTGACTCTGACGACAGATGTGTGTGTGACTCTGACGACAGATGTGTGTGTGACTCTGACGAGAGATGTGTGTGTGACTCTGACGACAGATGTGTGTGTGACTCTGACGACAGATGTGTGTGTGACGACAGATGTGTGTGTGACTCTGACGAGAGCTGTCTCGGTACTGTGATGCGGTCTAAATCCGGACGGGAAATCCTCGCAGATTCCATTACATTCCAACATGTCATCAACACGACACAGTTTTCTTCACACACACGAGGGTTGGCCAGCAGAAACAGCAAGGGTTAGAGGTCAGGATCTGCTAATGTTCACACACACACACACACACATCATCCTCCGCCATCAGTGCTGGTGAGGAGTAGCTGCCTCTGCACGGTCACATGATCCGGCACTGCAATCCCAGGATGCCGTTCTCTCGCCATAAATCGGCCTCGGCACTGATGCGGAACGAGTCCGGCTAATCATTGGCAGAAAGATGCTGACGGATCCTGAAAGCGTGACCTTTATCTAGACACGATACTTGTGCTTTTGACATGCTTCGATAGCAACACATTGCATTCTGGGATGGGAGTGGAACAGTGTGGGAAATGCACACACACACACACACACAGAGACCGAGATGCAGAGACAGAAGCATCACAGTTCGATCCGTGTGTGTTCATGCGTTCGCTCTGTTCTCCACAGATACACCAAACTGACGCTACAGTCGGCGGCCGACGGCGGGATTTCTGTCAAAAAGTAGGTTTGTTCACCGGTGCCGTTTCTGTGAACACACACATTACACAGATTTTCAGACGCTGTTCGGCGTGTGTGTACAGATGCTATCGTGTGTGTTGTGTGTGTTCCAGCATCACTCGCATGATCCCTGCCGACAAACGGCGAGTGGAGAACGCTCTGGAGATCTGCGGCCTGCCGACACAACGCGTGAGAACACACTCCCTTCTGCTCACACACACACACACACACACTCATGCACTGGTGTGTGTTTGTGTTGGTCAGTGTACTGCTATCAGTGTTTGCTGATCATCATTAAATGTCTGTCTCTCTCTTCAGACTCTTTCCTCCTGTCTATCGTTCTCTTTTCTCCGTTTGTTTTTCCTCTGTCATTTCCGTCATTGATCACGCTATGGTCCCCAGCTAACTCCTCCTCTCTCCTGCAGAGTGAGTCCATTCCTCCGGACAGGTTCACAGTGGACGTGTTTCGACAGCTGCTGAACAACATCTGTCCACGCAACGACATCGACACCATCTTCTCAGAGATGTCAGTCCTCCGCTTCGTCATCTACACACTCTTACAACATACGAAACACAGCACTTGTTCAAATTTAAAACCACTGAAGACTTCAGATTAAACTAACCAAATCCATCAGTTCACACACACTGATACGCGTGTGTGTGCGTGTGTGTGTGTGTGTGTGTGTGTGCAGTGGTGCTAAGATCCGTCCGTACCTCACCGTGGACCAGATGACAGATTTCCTCAACCACAAACAGAGAGACCCGCGCCTGAACGAGATCCTGTACCCGCCACTCAAAGCCGAGCAAGTGCAGGGATTGGTGGAGAAGTACGAGCCGGACGCCATGTTTTCTCAGAGAGGTTTGTGCTTTCATCTGCTAATTTAAACCTGAAAAATAAAGATTTAAAATGCTGATGAGTTGAACAGAAAGTTTTCTTTTCAGTGATTAAAAGTCTGTGATGTGTGACGGTCAGAAGCCAAACTCCAGTCCGCCGCAACATTTATTACAACGAAACACCATGAGCTCATTAACATATGACCCGCCCACGTCCATTTAGCGTCAACTACACCAATTGAGCTCATAAACGAGTGACAAAGAGTCTGTTTAACAGAGTGTTTTGCTGAGATGTAGATGTGTACGTCACAGTCATGAACTCAAGAACACTGTTCGCGTCTCTGCTGAATGTCCGTGTGTGTGCCGACTGCAGTCTCCTCCATCTCCAGCTCTGAGCTTTAATGAAGTCTTTCTTTCCCTCACGAGCTGGAAAGGTGGACGCTCCGCTGAGATGAAAGTCACCCTTTGCTGCCTCATTAGAGGAAACCCGTTCAGATGTCAGAGGAAGAACTGTGTTAATTAGGCTGTGGGAGTCCGCGGAGGGCATGGCGGGATTAATTAGCGTAAAGTGGCCAGAGGGACGGCGGGACGTTGCGCGCGCTAGCCTCCACCTGAGAGAGCCTGAGCTGAGCTGTCACTTCTGCTGAACTCATGTGTTGTTGGCATTTTAACGAGGAATCGCTCTCAGCATGCTGGGCTGCACTAGTGTTACCTGAAACGAGATTACACGGATCCGACTTGCTGGTGTCTGTTCCCGTAGCGGCTCCAAACACACCTCAAGTGTTTCTGGAGATCTTTTATGGCTGGATCTGACTGTGCAGGAGGGTTTAAAACCTTACACAGTTACACAGGATGGTTGATACGGTTGTTTTGTGGTACAGGGCAGATCTCGGTGGAGGGATTCGCCAGATATCTGAGTGGAGAAGAGAACAGTATCATCCCTCCAGAGAAGCTGGACAAGAGTGAAGACATGACGCTGCCGCTCTCACATTACTTCATCAACTCCTCACACAACACCTACCTCACAGGTCAGCCAATCAGACGACTCACACCACACCTACCTCACAGGTCAGCCAATCAGACGACTCACACCACACCTACCTCACAGGTCAGCCAATCAGACGACTCACACCACACCTACCTCACATTTCAGCCAATCAGACGACTCACACCACACCTACCCCACAGATCAGCCAATCAGACGACTCACACAACACCTACCTCACAGGTCAGCCAATCAGACGACTCACACCACACCTACCTCACAGATCAGCCAATCAGACGACTCACACCACACCTACCTCAAAGGTCAGCCAATCAGACGACTCACATGACACCTACCTCACAGGTCAGCCAATCAGACGACTCACACCACACCTACCTCACAGGTCAGCCAATCAGACGACTCACACCACACCTACCTCACAGGTCAGCCAATCAGATGACTCACATGACTAACATAAAACTCAAAAAGTTCACATAAAACTCCATAAAGTGACCCAATGGAGAATAAAAAAACCCTTGGGAGAACCCAGGCTCAGTCGGGGCCAGTTCTCCTCTGGCATCTATGAACTAGAGGCCGGATTTACAGTAACTGTACGGTAATAATGTATATGAATGTCTCTAAACAGACTTTAAACTGAGCCTGTGATAAACACTGATGGCGTTCACATGCGCGTAAAGAATTGATTCAATAGTTATGTGCGTTTGAATATATGTGCGCAGGTTTGTAATTCCCCACAAAACCATGCCTGAACAAACTAGTTGTCTATAAATTTGATACAGAATTTTTTTTTTTTTTTTATCACTTCGGGGTAGGTAAGCGAAACAAAATTCACGAAATTATTTAATGACATATTCTCCACCATTAATGGCTTTGTGTTGCATTTCTTCTCAGCTGATGTACATTAGTGTTGCAAGTGAAATGCTATAATAACTTTTACAGTTTGCATACAATGTTATGAGAGCAAATAAATGGACTGATCAGCTTTTATAAGGAGGAGAAACATGTGCTCTATGTGTCTAATGTCGCCTTTAGCTTTTGTCTTGCTTAGTCGGGGACATTTAATTTAATATTCACCAATATTATTGATCTCCTGCATTGACAGCATTATATGAGGACTGAACTGAGCTGGACGATGACATCACGGTTTTCTCCAGAGTGGCTATATATATATATATATCATTATATAATTACTAACTTTTCTTACATCAGAAATGAATGAGAATCAGAAACTTACTTAATTTTCTTCTGGAAACAAACTGTGTTTCTGTTCTCTCTGTAAAGCTGCTTTGACACACTCTGTGCTGTGAAAGCTCTATCTAAGTAAAGGTGACTTGACTTGTCTGTGTGTGTCAGCGGGTCAGCTGGCGGGAAACTCCTCCGTGGAGATGTATCGGCAGGTCCTGCTGTCCGGCTGCCGGTGTGTGGAGCTCGACTGCTGGAAGGGTCGGACCGACGAGGAGCCGCTCATCACACACGGCTTCACCATGACCTCCGAGATCTCCTTCAAGGTACAGTAACAGACAACAGCAGTGTGTAGCCCACAGCCTCGGGTCAGGAGCACTGCGTTAGGGTTAGGGTTCGGTAATGATTTAATAATGATTGAAGTGTGAAACATTAAAACAAAATAGCAGCCAATATGACACTGTGTGTTTGTTTTGATGCATTAAAAAAGACACGTAATGTAATGTGAGTAGTAGATCATTCTGACTCAGTCACTTAAAAAGTAGATCACCATTCAGAAAAGCGTGGGCAGCCCTGCCGTAGACACTACACACGGTGCAAATCATCTCCACACTAACACTCAAATTCAACTTGTTGTCAATCACACACGCCAGATACTTTATCAATCATACCCAGATCTGATTCCACAACATCGACCTCCTGCTCTTTGATAGTAGTTCTCTTCAGATCAGTTACGCCTCAAGTCAATAAGCATATCTTTACTTTTTAGCACATTGATCTGCAAGAATTCATCGTTGCACCACTGTACAAAATCCTCAACCACATCCTCACACACAGCACCAAGAAGGCTGACAATACCTACCATATTCACAATATTCAGCATATTCACCATATTTACCATATTCAGCATATTCACAATATTCACCATATTCAGCATATTCACCATATTCACCATATTCACCATATTCACCATATTCAGCATATTCACCATATTCACCATATTCAGCATATTCACAATATTCACCATATTCAGCTTATTCACAATATTTACCATATTTACCATATTCACCATATTCACCATATTCACCATATTCAGCATATTCAGCTTATTCACCATATTCAGCATATTCACAATATTCACCATATTTACCATATTCACCATATTCACCATATTCACCATATTCAGCATATTCAGCATATTCACAATATTCACCATATTTACCATATTCACAATATTCACAATATTCACCATATTTACCACATTTACCATATTCACCATATTCACAATATTCACCATATTTACTATGCGCACATAGACTTTTTGAAACACGAAAGTAAGTTTTGAGCTAAATGAGCTTTTCTAGGCACTCTAAGCGCTTCACATGGAAGGGGGAATCTCTTCAACCACCAGTGTGAGCTCCACCATAGTGCGCCAGACGTCCACACACACACACACACACACACACACACAAGCTTACTGGTGGAGAGGAGACAGAGTGATGAAGCCAATCAGTGTGTGTATATATATATATATATATATATATATATATATATATATATATATATGAAGAGTTCAGATGCAAAAGCCTCTAAATGCCATTTGAAATTTTCTTCTAGAATGATAATTTTTATTAAACTTGTATATTTAAGTTCAGTGATTTCACTTAAATTGCAATGATAATTACCTATTAATTGTTATTTAAGTGAAATTACTGAACTTAAATATACAAGTTTGATAAAAATCATCATTAAAGAAGAAAATTTCAAATGGCATTTAGAGGCTTTTGCATCTGAACTCTTCATATATATATATATAAATATTAATTCTTCTAGTCAATCCACTTCTTGTGGCCTTTCCTTGTTCACACGTACACACAAAGCGTACCTTGTGGACAGCATGGACTAAAATCCACCGGATCCACAGGTCAAATACTGTGTGCTTCCCAATCACCAACACACACACACATGCTCTTATTATACACAGCCACAGCGCCACCCAGTGGACAAAACTTTACCATACAACAAATGCCTCGTACACTGGGTTTGTACAGTTGATGAAGAAAGTAGTAAAGTTAGCCAGAACACACTCGTCCTTTATGTGGTTTATGAAGAGACAGATAAAGAATCGATTACACACCTCATTTCTTTAAACCAGTGACTGTCCTCCAGTTGTGGTGTTTCCGTCATGTTTTAAAGGCCCGTCTCCTGTTTCCAGGAGGTGATTGAGGCCATAGCGGAGAGTGCCTTCAAGACGTCGCCGTTCCCCGTCATCCTGTCCTTCGAGAACCACGTGGACTCGTAAGTGTGAAGCTCGTCCCACCGTTCCTGCTCTCAGACCAGCAGAAGAGCGACGCCAGCTGGACTCAAGTTCGGCTCACAGCTCATAAATCTGACTAAATCGTTCTTTTGTAAATGTTCAAATGCAGAATGTTTTCTGTTGAGGATAAATTAAAAGTTTGTACAGTGTAAAATCATTATGTGTGTGTGTGTGTGTGTGTGTGTGTCTCAGTCCCAAACAGCAGGCGAAGATGGCAGAGTATTGTAGATCAATATTTGGGGATGCATTACTGACAGACCAACTGGAGAAATACCCTGTGAGTGATAAACACAGCTCACACACACACACACACTGGTCCTTTAAAAACCAGAATATCAACTGTTGTCAGTGTGTGTGTGGTGTGTTCAGCTGGAGGCCGGTGTCCCTCTGCCGAGTCCGCTGGACCTGATGGGGAAAATCCTCATCAAAAACAAGAAGAACTCCCACAAAACTGACGGCAGCGGCAAGAAGAAACTGACCGAGCAAACGTCCAGCGCCTGCAGCGACACGTCCAGTGTGTGTGAGCCCTCGTCTCCCAGCGCAGGTGTGTGTGTGTGTGAGCCCTCGTCTCCCAGCGCAGGTGTGTGTGTGTGTGTAAACCTCTCACTTTAGTGCTGTTAGTCTTTCCCACTGATGTTATTTTATCCTGGTGTGTGTTCATATTCACGGTGATCGTGTATTGTGTGTATCTCAGCAAGGAAGATGCAGGATGTGTCTCTGGTTAAAACTGGATTTCCCCCTATATATATATATATATAATATATATGTATATATATTTCAGTTAATCCTGCCATTTTTCTCTCTGGTCATTTTTAATCAAATTGTCTGGATGTTTGAAACAACAGAGTTCTCTGTGTGACGTATGTGGGATTGACCAATCATGTGGCCTGATTAAACCCCACCCCTTTTTTACAGTCCACTGCACTCCTGTTCTGATCCATCTCCATTTTTGAAGATAACACACACTTTCTCAACAGAATCAAGTCACCGCTTCGCAGTTCTTTTATTTTTCTGATAATCTCAGATTCTTCGGATTCATTGTAAACGTCTCAGAGTCCAGCGCTGCTCTCGCTGATCAGTACCAGCGGCTGGTGAAGCTGAAACTCCAGTCGTGTGTGTGTTGTGTCACACTGAGTGTGTGTGTTTAGGCTCGACACACACGGAGACAGAGGCACATGCAGACGGGACAGAGAGAGGAGACAGGAGAGTCCCGGGAATCAAGTCCAGCGGCTCCGTATCACACAACACAGGTCCGGCCGATCACGGGGGTCACAGGGAGTGGGGTAAATTGAGCCGCGCTCCTCACACTGAGTGCCGTTTGTCCCTCAGGTGAAGCGGACGCAGACAGCGACGTGGAGGATGAGAACGGTTACGGAAAGAAGTCCATTGATGAGGTCAGTGTCATTAGTGTGTTAAAGACGTTACTCGAGGAGACTCATATAGCGAATCTCTACAAGCACATGATCAGAAGACCTGTGTGTGTGTGTGTGTGTGTCTGCAGGGGATGGCAGTAAATGAAGCGTTTGCCACAGAGGAGATGTCCAACTTAGTCAACTACGTTCAGCCTGTTAAATTCCACTCCTTCGAGGCGTGCAAAAGTAAGTCAGTCTGTTCTTACGCCACAAGATGTGTTTCACCGTCAGATCTGTGTGTGTTACGGTTCACTGTGTTTGTTTTCCACAGAAACTGATCGAAGCTACGAAATGTCGTCGTTTGTGGAAACTAAAGCGCTGGAGCTGCTCAAGGAATCACCGGTGGAGTTCGTCGAGTATCTTTTGTTTGTACTGAACTTGTGCCGGTCAAAGTGTCATTTTCTGTTAAATTAAATAAAATTTGTATTAAATTTTTATATAGCTTATACAACACAGATTGTTTCAAAGAAGCTTCGCAGTGACAAACAGGAAAAAAAACCAATTCAATTATGAATCGTATAATTTCATCTATCTTCTGTGGAAAACAGTGATGTCATCATCAGCTCAGATCAATATTACCGACTGGGGTAATCATATACCGGATCTCATACGTGCATTAGGCTTATACAACACGCCTGATATATATAACGCTTCATAACATATCATTAGTGGCTCTGATTTTGCTTTCTCAGATCACAAACTCATACATTTCAGTTTTAGTTTTCCAATATATCTATATCACCACTGACGAAAATGCTCACTTATTGTAAAATCAGTTCTGTGAATCCAACTTCTTTCTCTGTTTCAGTAAGGGCTTCTCCCCTGTCATCATATTTACTATCTGTATAGCAATAACGCTTTCCTCTAATACTTGAGAGGCTCCTGTTAAAACTAGACTGGATCCTTCAGTTCGTACCCCACCCTGCTTAACTCCTGACTCTCGAACGCTTAGTTGGCGGCCGTGGAGGTCTCGTGCAGGAGGAATGTTTGTTTGTTTTGTTTGTCTATCGCACGGAGCTAGAATGAGAATGACCTACACCCGAGATGAACTTCTAAACATCAGCGCAACTTTATCCCTTAGTTGCCACCCTGATTTGCAGTGTTTTCATTCGGATATCCTCAGAAACTCCACGGATTGTAGCCCATACAAACACTCGAGATCTCGTCCATGGAGGCTACTCCCCCGTAGTAGAGCGAGGGGTAATCTAACCCTAACCCAGCCGGCTGCCGTCGCCGCTTGGAGAAGAAAGGGTTCTGTGCACCTTTACCTGGATTAGTACTGGCTAACGTGAGATCTCTCAGCAACAAGCTGGATTAGCTCCATCTTCGGTTTGAGACGGACAAGGACCTTTCTTATATTGCCGCGTTCTGCTTTACGGAAAACTGGCTTCAGTCCAATATTCCTGACACGGCGGTGAACCTGCCCGGCTATCAGCTCTTTAGAGCGGACCGCGATGCGACAACCACTGGGAAAACAAAAGGCGGAGGTGTCTGCGTTTATGTGAGTAACAAGTGGTGCAGCGATTTCACAGTCATTGCTGAATTATGCTCCCCTGATCTAGAACTGCTGGCCATACATTGCAAACCTTTCTACTCGCCTAGGGAAAATTTTAATCCATTATTCTTGCGTGTGTCTACGTTCAGCCACAGGCGCACGCCGACACAGCGCAGCAGCTTTTAGCTGATCATATCACGGAAGTAGAGATTAAGTTCCCTAACTCCACTGTATTGGTCTTGGGTGATTTCAACCACACCGATCTGAGATCTGAACTTCCTAAATACCATCAGTTGGTGCGGTGTGCCGCCAGGGGAGAACGAACTCTAGATCATTGCTATTCTTCCATCAAAGAGGCATATTGTGCTTGCACGCGTGCGCCACTAGGCAATGGCGATCATGCTGTGATTAAACTCATCCCCACATACGGTCTCTATTCAAAAAACAAAAACCGATCAAGAGGGCTGTACAGAAATGGTCACCCGCTGCAGTTGAAACATTACAAGCCTGTTTTGATATTACAGACTGGGATACTTTTAAATTGGCATGCAATAACTTTGATGAGTATGTAGACACATGCTCGTCCTACATTTACTTTTGTGAGGAACTTCCCAGACAATCTATTGTCATTTATGGGAATAATAAGCCATGGTTCAATAGACCATTTTGCAAGATGTAAACAACACTGGTCCAGAAACACTTCCACTTCCTAACTGTTTTCTTTATTTCACACGTAAAGAAAACATCTTAAAGGTGTTTGTTTAACTTTTTTGATTCAGTTTTATATGTTCTGTTGGTTGTATTTTATCCCAGCTTTTATTTAGTGTTAAAAAACTGGACCAGTGTTGTTTACATCTTCCAAAATGGTCGATAAGGAAGTAAGGCTACAGAGGAAGGAGAAGGAGGCGGCCCACACGAGTGGAGGCAAGGCTGCCTACATCAAGGCCAACTACGCACTCATTCAGCATGCTAAGAGGCTGTATAAGGCCAGGATTGAAAAACAGGTCGGGGATAAGAACATCAGAGCTGTTTGGAAGGGCCTGCAATCTGCCACGGGCTACAAAAAGCCACCCCTCCCAGCCTCCCCCGACCCAAATCTGCCAGACGTGTTCAATGTGTTTTGTATTAGGTTTGAAGCCCCATGTGGGTCCCCCCACTCCATCCTCCCTGTTTTTTTTTTAAACAAAAGGTTTGGAAACATGTAGGATTCAAAAGAATATGAATGCTATTCCTGCAAGAAAAATAAATGTAAGTTATGATTAATTATAAAAATCCATCACAGGCGACAGCGGAAACCAAACTCCATCAGTGACAGGATGGAGGAAAACCCTGAAGAGAAACAAGACTCAGTCGCTGAGTTCTCCTCTGGCCAAAAACCAACAGTGTCATGATTATATCATTTTTTCCTTTGTAAGAGATTCTTAACTCCTTCACACAGGTATAATAAACTACAGCTGAGCAGAATTTATCCCAAAGGAACACGAGTCGACTCCTCGAACTACATGCCTCAAGTCTTCTGGAACGCCGGCTGTCAGCTCGTGGCTCTGAACTTCCAGACCATCGGTAGCGTCCGTTCGGTTCCTTCAGTGTGTGTGTGTCTGTGTGTTTCTGGCTCAGATGTGTGTGTCTGTAGAGGTAGAGTACACACACACACACACACACTAACTCATTCACACTCACTCGCTCCCTGCTGATCGTCTACATCTGTAGAGGAACATCACAGCGACCCGACTCGATTGACTGATTTCATTTTGGATCAGCCCTGATGTGTGTGATGATGTTCTCGCTCTCTCTCTCTCTGTGTGTGTGTGTGTGTGATTTGCAGATCTTCCCATGCAGCTGAATCTGGGAATTTTCGAGTACAATGGGAAATGTGGCTACCGACTGAAGCCGGAGTTCATGAGACGGACGGATAAGCAGTTTGACCCGTTCACACAGAGTACAGTCGACGGGATCGTAGCACACACACTGTCTGTGAAGGTGAGTGTGTGTGTGTGTGTGTGTGTGTGTGGGTGATAACTTTAGCTGAATCCTCAATTTACTACGCTGCAATATTACCAAACACTGTCGCTGTACTACTGTGGAGTTCCCTTAACTTCTTAAAAGCATTACTCTCCTTTACTGCTCCCCTTTACATTTTTCATAATTCTCCTTTACTAAATCTTCATTAAAATCCCAGTTTGTGCTGGAAGCTCGTTTACCAGTTTTTCAGCAAGAGTAGTTAAAAATGATTAAAACAGTCTGCTTCCTTCTTCTGATCAGACATCAGTCTTCCATCTATTCTAGAGCCATTGACCGCAGTCTTCCTCCTATTGCCCAATCATCCTAAACTCTTCAGTTCACCGCGGCGCCTCGGGGGAACCGGTGGCCGAAACACTTATCTAATCACGGCAATACTATTGGCCGGCGACGGCCTATGACGTTAATATCTCTTGCCTCATTTCTTTTAGATTTAAATTGCTCAAAACTATAATAATTTCTATCCCTTTTAAATATCTTCGAACAATCTCTACATTCCTTCATCACCCATCTGTCATCCGAGGTTCAGTCTCTAATCTCTTCATAGGGTGTCAACCTCACAAATACTTTTAAAACCCAAGCCATCTCTACATCTGAAGTTCATTAATCTGAACTGTAGGAATATTGAATATCAATAAGAATATGATATTAACTAGTTTAACTAGAAACACCAGACTTTAAGCTTGCGCTAGGAGGGACTCAGCCTGGAAACTTTAATAACAGTGTTTTCCGTTACCTGTATTTTTTTCTATACAGTAGTCAGTGTATTTGACAAATGTTTTTAAAACTTGTTCAATACTCTGTTATTGAAATCTGATCATCAAATCTGAGAGTATGCAGCAGTATTACTGTAGAACACTGGCTGAAATGAAAGACTCGTTTGCGCAATGTCCATTCGATTGAGAATGAATGTGTGGATCTGAGGTTCCCGTGTCATTATCAGATCATCTCGGCTCAGTTCCTGTCCGATAAGAGAGTCGGTGTTTACGTGGAGGTGGAAATGTACGGCCTGCCGGTGGACACCAAGCGGAAAGCGTTCAAGACCAAGACGTCCCAAAGCAACGCCGTCAACCCAGTGTGGGACGAAGAGCCGATGGTCTTCAAAAGAGTACGTGTGAACAAACACTGAATCATCGTGAAACGGTCAGAGTTTGACACGCCGTTTGTTTCAGGTGGTTCTTCCCACACTCGCGTCACTGAGAATAGCCGTGTACGAAGACAACGGCAGATGCATCGGCCATCGCATCATCCCGGTGTGTGCCATCCGACCTGGCAAGTATCGGTTACGTTTCTCTCAGTGTGAACTGGCATTACGGTGCAGTGGCTGATGGGTAAAGAGCGATCTCTCTGCTGCAGGATATCATTACATCAGTCTGAGGAACGAGAAGAACCAAGCGCTGACGCTGTCGTCTGTGTTCGTCTACACCGAGGTCAAGGATTACGTCCCAGACACCTTCGCAGGTACAAGAGCCAAATAAACAGGCTGTTTGTAGCGTTTCATTTTTGTACGTTAAAACTCACATCTGCTCACGAGTTCTTGTCCTGACTGCGTTTGTGCTGTTAGATGTGATCGAGGCTCTGTCCAATCCCATCCTGTATGTCAGTCTGATGGAGCAGAGAGCCAATCAGCTGGCGGCTCTGACCCAGGAGGAGGAGCAGGCCGACGGAGAGCAGGTGAGTGACTCTGCGGTGTCTGAGATGCTCATCTAATCACGGCAGTCCTTATGGCCGGCGACAGCCTGTGATGTCACTACTGGTGCGACCCGGAAGTATAAGGTGTGCCTGGAGAACATGTCAACAACTTTCCGTCCTCAGGGACTCTGAAGTGTGTGTGTGTCTAAGATATTTGACACCGGATGACACACACAGCTTTGGGATCAGAGTATGAGTGACCAACTATGAGTTTCCTATTAGAATTGTGCGATTTCAGAGGGAGCTCGCTGAGGAGATTGAGAGAATTGTTTATCACTGAAACAGCCGTCCCACGAGAGCAGGGGATGCTGATGAGGGTGAAGAGGTTGTACCTACACCGGTCTCTGCCTGCGTATGTTGTGAGTGTTATGGAACGCGCTCATGTGTGTGTGTGAGATTAAATGTGTGTTTGTGTGAGTGCATGTAAGGATTTGTGTGTGTGTGTGAGTACAGTCTCTGAGTCTGCACATGCTCAGTTCTTCTCTTAGTTGGTTTAGCTGAATATATTCAGGGTTCACACTGAAACTACACGACTGTCCAGTCATTGATTCTGGAATGAGATCTTTATAAACTAGATAAAACCAGATCAACTTAACGAGACGCTGATAAGCTTGACTTAATTAGAAATGATTTTATAGCAAATTTACTGACTTTTTCATCTCTAGAAATAACGGTTTCCCTCACACACCAGAGAGAACCCTGGCTCTTCAATCGGAACGACTGATTAAAAATAAGAAGTGTAATTTGGGTTTTCATCTGATGTTGGTTTAGTGTGTTCCTCTGTCTCAGTCCAGCTGAATCAGCGAGATCCGCTAGCAACGGTTTGTGCCGCAGGTTAGCCCTGAGTCAGACGAACGCTAGTGTTTGAGGATCAGGTTAGTCATGCTGAGAGTGGGTTTCCATCGCTATACTTACACACTCTGGACAGACATGCAGGTAGGATGTTTTTGATCATTATATATCATAGTTTCATCTGGTTGAAGCTCAGTTTAAGACTAAGATCGTGAGCCGTTAAGTTACAGTCAGGACGCGCATGGGATTTCCAGTCATAGTAAAGATATTAAACCATGGAAATATCAAAGTGTAGTGTGTATATATATATATGGATATATCATAGTATAGTGTAGGGTTAGTTCTCCGCTGATTCATTACAAGTTGTATAAAATGATTTGTAAATATGAGACTCCAGTCGTCATGGTTCAGTCTTCTCACGTCTGCTGTGTTCACCTGTAGATCTGTGTGTTTTATTGTCTGTCGTGTGATTGGTGCAGGTGAATGGAGGAGGTGATCTGGTGTCAGAGGTCATGAGTGACCCGAACCCGGCGGCGGCACCAGAAAACGGGCTGAACCATCCCAGCGTCTCACCCAAACCCTCCGTGGTCAGTCAGCAGACTCCGTCCTCAGGTGTGTGTGTGTGTGTGTGACAGGCGTCCAGTGCCGCTGAATCAGCAGATCATCGTCTCTCTGTATTTTTCAGGGTCGCTCAAACCCGCTGTGAGGCCTGAGGACGTCGTTCAGAGTGTTTTAACAGGTACGTGTCACGGTTTGGTCTGATCTCAGATGTGCAGTGGTTCAGATGATTAGATCACCACAGACGGATGTTGATCCAGGTGTAAACGATGATTAGAGCTCCTCAAATACTTCCTTACACTGATTTAAGCTTTATATCCACAGCGCTTCATACAGTACAGATTGTTTCAAAGCAGCTTCACAATAATAGACAGGAAAATAACTGAAGCATAAGCGTCATCAGACATGAGACACATTCAGATTCAGCTTCAGTCATTATTATCCAGATCAGTCGAGTAAAGTTGTAAAGTTCATCAATGATTCAATGAATTTGATCTCATGATCATTCTTAAGGACATGGACGTGTTAAAAAGATGCGTAATATCCAGCAATATTTTTGAATATCTGAAACTATTAGATGAGAACAGAACTTGGACTGAACTGAATAATGACTGTGTTTCATTTTCACAAGCTGATTATACTGTATACAGAAAATACTTTTTTACTTCAAATGCTTTGTAACGTTTGTGCTGGAAAATGATTATACGATTCTTAATTGGACTTGTTTTTTACATTATATGCTTACTGTATGTGTTTTCTGCAAATGTATTTGTTGAAAGTGTAATTCTTTACTGATATAAATGAGAAGTGTCAACGAGGCGGTCCCTATGAAGGCCTCCCTCCCTTTACCCCCGTACAGGTAGAAGCGCTGTCAGGATCATTCCGGTTCTCGTTCGCAGACGCGTCAAATTTCTGTATATTTTAAAGACCAGACAAGTAGTTTGTTAAGGGTTGATTTGTGAAGAAGGACTACATGCATGCGCACATACAGTATATATCCAAACTGAACATGTAATGCGCATGTGCTCATCGTCGGCGTTTTCATGGGTTTGCGTTTTTGAGGTTTGTGCAGAGATACAGGAGAATCATTTGCCCCTTTGAACGTATTTCAGGGAGTGCGTTCTCGAGACACCAGGCACTGTTTTGTGCGATCGAGCGGCCGGAGCGTATTAAGAGTTTTTCTGTTAGAAAGTGAGTTAATCACTAATGATCTTCGCAACGGAAGTGAATCAATCAAAACTAACTTTAGCTGTACAATAACTTTATCCTAATGCTGTTGTACTGCCTAAACAATCTGTTATGGTAATTTCTACAATAACTGTAAAGCTGCTTTGAAACAATCCATCCTGTTAAAAGCGCTTTATAAATGAAGGTGACTTGACATATATATATATATATATATATATATATATATATATATGTATATATATATATATGTGTGTATATATGTATATATGTCAAGTCACCTTCATTAGGCAGACTTTATTGACCTCCCATCCTTAATTAGTAGGGTTTAATGTGGAGTTGGCCTACCCTTTACAGCAAAACTATTCTGGGAAGGTTTTCCACAAAGTTTAGGAGTGTGTTTATGGGCATTTATGACCATTCTTCTAGAAGAGCAGTTGTGAGGTCAAGCACTGATGTTGGAAGATAAGTCTCCAGTCTAGTTCATCCCTAAGCTGTTCTATTGGTGTGGTGAGCAGGACGGCCGAGGGACGTGAGAGAAAGTCGCGAGGCCGGTGGTGCAAGTGCTAATGAGCAGCACCTGTGAAGCACACCGGTCTCGCATCTCTCACGAAGGAGCGGAGCCATAAAGGGGGAGCGACGGAGTGGATGATCGAGAGAGAGGAACAGGCCTGATTTTATTTGTGTTTTATATTTTATTTGGGTAGCCAGCAGTCGTCCGCGAGGGGCTGCTGGCAGGTAATTTGTTTGTTTATTTTATTTAAATAAAGTTTTATTTTATTATTATTATCCGGTTCCTGCCTCCTTCTTCCCTGAACTTTGTTACACTGGTGCCGAAACCCGGGAAGAGGGAGGAACGCGCTGTCCGAGGGTCCTCGCCGCTGTGGGGAATCCGCGGTGCCATCGAGCATGGTGCGCGAGTCGCCGCCGCTCGCCGTGGGCCGGAGCCTGCTGCCGTCCGCCGCAGAAGGGGAGGAGCAGGGAGCGGGGAACTCGCGGCCATGGACGCTCGAGGCGGGGCGCTGGGATGAGTTGCCGGGGGGACGCCCGAGCTCGCCGCCGACCGCCTGGAAAATGGAGGGGCGGCTGCCGTTCGGGAGGGAGAGGAGGAGTCACCGCCGCTTGCCGTGGGCCGGAGCCTGCTGCCATCCGCCAGTGAAGGGGAGGAGCAGGGAGCGGGGGACTCCTGCCGTCTGCCCAAGGCACCCGAGGAGCCGTCGCCGTCCACCGGGGGCGGGGGAGCGTCGAGGCGTTCACCGAGGGCCATCCAGCGTCGCCGCCGGGCACCGCGGAGGAGATCGCCCAGCTGGTGAGGGACAAGATGGCAGCGCGTTGTGGGAGCCGGACTTTTTTTTTTTTTTTTTTTTTTTTTTTTAATAATAAAATAAAACTTTATTTAAATAAAATAAACAAACAAAATACCTGCCAGCAGCCCCTCACGGACGACTGCTGGCTACCGAAAATAAAATATACAATACCGGCCAGCAGCCCCTCGCGGACGACTGCTGGCTTACCAAATAAAATATAAAACACAAATAAAATCAGGCCTGTTCCTCTCTCTCGATCATCCACTCCGTCGCTCCCCCTTTATGGCTCCGCTCCTTAGTGAGAGATGCGAGACCGGTGTGCTTCACAGGTGCTGCTCATTAGCAATCGCACCACCGGCCTCGCGACTTTCTCTCACGTCCCTCGGCCGTCCTGCTCACCACAATTGGGTTGAGATCAGGACTCTACCCCAAACTGTTCTCACAAAGTTGGGAGCATGAAATTGTCCAAAATGTCTTAGTAAGCTGAAGAATTAAGAGTTCCTTTCACTGGAACTAAGAGACCAAGCCCTAAAAAACAAGCCCAAATAACCCCCCCTCAACCAAACAACTCCACACCAAAACCTACAACCAGCTCCTATAACCAGCAGGCTGCTTTATGTTGATTGGGCTGTTTTGCAAAGTATTTGCGAGTTGTTTTGAACGAGCTGTAAAACAGGGACATTTCAGCGCACAGAACACCAAAAACTGGGACTGGCCCCTGGAACACAAAGACGTCTGGACACCTTTGTGTGTGTGTGTGTGTGTGTGTGTGCTTGACAGAGGTGGACGCTCAGACTGTAGATGAACTGAAACAGCTGAAAGGTTATTCGAGAGAAAAGAAGAGGCAGTACAAGGAATTAAAGGAGGTCATGAAGAAACACAACAAGAAAACCAATGACTTGATCAACGAACACGCATCGAAACAGAAGCATCTGCTGAGCGAGTTCCTGCGGCGCAGGTCCACCCTGCAGAAGAGGTCAGTTGGGTGAGTTGGATCAGTTGGGTGTGCTGGGTGAGCTGGGTGAGTTGGGTAAGCTGGGTAAGCTGGGTGAGTTGGTTGAGCTGGGTGAGCTGGATCAGTTGGGTGAGTTCAGTAAGTTGGTTATGGTTAGGGTTAGGCTTAGGGTTAGGTTGGGCCTGTGTTTGCGCTGCTTTGGTGGGTCTGAACACTTGTGTCCCTGCAGGAGCGTCTCCCATCAGGATCCAGATCTGATGGCGATGGAGCAGGAGAGAGTTCAGAAACTCAGTGAACTGAAGGATCATCAGCAGCAGCAGCTCCTCACGCTGAGACAGGAGCAGTTCTACAGTGAGAAGTACCTCAAACGAGAACACGTCAGACTGGTGATTACAGTTGTGTCTGTCTATTTAAACAATACAAATCAGAGTCAAGACAACGATGGGCAATTCTTCTTTTGTTTTACTGTGCAAAATCAGAATGACCAACTTTGTGAGCATGGGTCTAACTGGCCAACCAAATTCTAACCCTGAGTTAACCTAAGGCGCTTTTCCACTGCATAGTACGGTACGGTTTGGTTCGGTTCGGTTCGGCTCACTTGTGGTGCTTTTCCACTGCATAGTACGGTACGGTTCGGTTCGGTTCGGCTCACTTGTGGTGCTTTTCCACTGCATGGTACTGTACAGTACGGTTCACTTCCGGTCGCTTTAAATGGTACCTGGTCTGTTGAGGTTCCAAGCGTACCGTACCGGTACTAAAATGTGACGTGAAACACTGCAGATCACTGATTGGTCAGACAGAATCGTCATTCCCTGCGTCACTACTAGCGTCATTGGATTTGCGACACGAGACACGAGACACTTTTTTAGCAGTATTTTTGTTTTGCTGCCATCAGCCTCATTTTAAACACATTTTTCCGTCTAGCAGTTAAAAACAACCACATACCGAGAATCAGGAACACCATCCCCTCGATAGTCTCCATTGTTCCTGTGTTGTGGGTTTGAAAATGTGGCGCTTTTAAGATGATGTCATGGCAGTAGAGGCGCGCGCAAATAACGATCAGTCCCACACACTTTGAAGGGGTACTTCTGCGGTGGAAACGAACAGCGATCCGAACTGTTCCGCGCCGAGTCGAAGCGTACTGAGCCGAACCGTACCGTACTATGCAGTGGAAAAGCGCCACTAGAGTGGCCAAGTAGTGCTTATTCCTGAGTGATTTCTACTCAATACACTGCAACTACTATCTGATCATTTTAGGAGACTCTGTGGGGAATCCAAATCTGTACACATGCATCCTGCCATTAAAGGAGTAGTTCACTTTAAAATGAAAATCGAATTAGTCGAGCCAATCAAATTGCCAGGGCGGGCTTTATACAATGATGGACAGATGATCTGCAGTTACGTAATCATCACGTTATCAAAGAGCGCTGGGTTAAACTGGTTACCCTCAGAGATGGCCGCCGCTGGAGAACTGAGATGTAGATTCAGTTATCACATCCGTTGTAAAAGAAATCGACAGCGCATTCCTTTTAAAAGACGAACAGAGAGCTGCAATCAAGGCTTTTGTCGATCGGAAAGATGTGTTTGCCGTCCTTCCTGCAGGATTCGGCAGAAGTTTAATTTATCAGCTGGCTATGATGGTCGCTAGAAGAGGTGAACCCTGCGGACGCACTCATGGAGGACCGAGTGAAAGAATCAACACTCATTATTTTACTACTTCCAGTGTGCGTGTAGTTGAGTTTTGTTGACAACTATGCGTAGCTCATGGTTCGTATGGAGCAGTATCAGACTCACAGTCTGACTAGAATATGAGTATGACGAATTTAGGCTATAAAAGTGCATCTGTCCATCATAAAAGTGCTCCAAACGGCTCAGGTGGGTTGATAAAGGCCTTCTGGCGAAGTGATGCGTTTGGATAAGAAAAATATTCATATTGAACATGTTACACAGTAAAATTCTAGCTTGACCTAAAATAAAGCTTCCACGATACACACCGTTTCAATCCCGTCTCACACTGCAATAAGGGATGTTCTTCCTCAGTGTCTCATTTTCCAGCACAAATATTGAAAACGTTTTTTAATCAAGATACATTTAAAACAGATGAAGTAACAGATCATTTGGTGATCAGATATAGTGCAGGGTTTGAGGAGCCGGTGTGTTTGCCTGGTGCGTGTGTATCAGACGGTCTGTGAACAGTGTCGGCTCACACACACGTTGTGTTTCTCTTCATCTGTAGCTGGTAGAGAAGCTGGTGACGGTGGCGGAGGAGTGTCAGAGTAACCAGCTGAAGAAACTCAAAGATCTGTGTGAGAAGTAAGTCACCATCACTCGCCCTCACCACGCTCAAACACGACTCTCTTTCTTCTGTGCGACGTAAAGAAGATGCTGCGAGAAGTCTCCAGTGTTTCTGTCGTTTGGACACAGACGTTCCTCTAAATTTCTTCTTTTGAGCGGTTCTGGTTTCATTTTCTTCAGAGAAAACAAAGAGTTGAAGAAACGGATGGACAAGAGACGACAGGAGAAGTTTCAGGAGGCCAGAGCGCTGGAGAAAACTCTGACGGACGAGTGAGTGACTTTAACCCGTCAGTCTTCTATTATCATGATAGACGTGTTCTCAGATCAACATCTCCACCAGTCCATCCGAGTCTGGCCTGAACGACACTCGGGTTTACTTTGATGGTCCACTTTACACATTCTACTTACTATTCTTAACTTTGCAACTATGTGTCAATAAAGAGTGTTAGTGGGGTGTAAGGCTAGGGTTAGGTGTTGGTTGATGCATGTAGTTGCAAAGTTACTTATAGTCAGAAGAGTGTTTAAAGAAGACCATCGAAATTACAGTATCATCATTCTTACCAGATGACTAGAGTTTGTGTTTGTTGAGCAGGAATAAACACCAGTGTTGTTGATCCATCATCTTTACTCACTGCGTGACACTGACATGTAGAATCCTCCTGTTCTGTAGGAGAAAGATGGAGATGAACAGATCGCACGTGAATGAGGTGGTGCAGTCCATCAGACGGGTGAGTGCTGGTCAGGGTGGGAATACTGGATAACCCCTACTGGTCAGTGCAGGAATATTAGTTAACCCCTGCTGGTCAATGCTGGAATACAAGTTAACCCCTGCTGGTCAATGCAGGAATACTAGTTAACCACTGATGGTCAGTACAGGAATACTAGTTAACCCCTGCTGGTCAATGCAGGAATACTAGTTAACCCCTGCTGGTCAATGCAGGAATACAAGTTAACCCCTACTGGTCAGTGCAGGAATACTAGTTAACCCCTGCTGGTCAGTGCAGGAATACTAGTTAACCCCTACTGGTCAGTGCAGGAATACTTGTTAACCCCTACTGGTCAGTGCAGGAATACTTGTTAACCCCTGCTGGTCAGTGCAGGAATACTAGTTAACCCCTACTGGTCAGTGCAGGAATACTAGTTAACCCCTACTGGTCAGTGCAGGAATACTTGTTAACCCCTGCTGGTCAGTGCAGGAATACTAGTTAACCCCTACTGGTCAGTGCAGGAATACTAGTTAACCCCTACTGGTCAGTGCAGGAATACTTGCTAACCCCTGCTGGTCAGTGCAGGAATACTAGTTAACCCCTACTGGTCAGTGCAGGAATACTAGTTAACCCCTGCTGGTCAGTGCAGGAATACTTGTTAACCCCTACTGGTCAGTGCAGGAATACTTGTTAACCCCTACTGGTCAGTGCAGGAATACTAGTTAACCCCTGCTGGTCAGTGCAGGAATACTAGTTAACCCCTACTGGTCAGTGCAGGAATACTAGTTAACTCCTACTGGTCAGTGCAGGAATACTTGTTAACCCCTGCTGGTCAGTGCAGGACTACTTGTTAACCCCTACTGGTCAGTGCAGGAATACTTGTTAACCCCTACTGGTCAGTGCAGGAATACTAGTTAACCCCTACTGGTCAGTGCAGGAATACTAGTTAACCCCTACTGGTCAGTGCAGGAATACTAGTTAACCCCTGCTGGTCAATGCAGGAATACAAGTTAACCCCTGCTGGTCAGTACAGGAATACTAGTTAACCCCTACTGGTCAGTGCAGGAATACTAGTGAACCCCTGCTGGTCAGTGCAGGAATACTAGTTAACCCCTACTGGTCAGTGCAGGAATACTAGTTAACCCTGCTGGTCAGTGCAGGAATACTAGTGAACCCCTGCTGGTCAGTGCAGGAAAACTTGTTAACCCCTACTGGTCAGTGCAGGAATACTTGTTAACCCCTACTGGTCAGTGCAGGAATACTAGTTAACCCCTACTGGTCAGTGCAGGAATACTTGTTAACCCCTACTGGTCAGTGCAGGAATACTTGTTAACCCCTGCTGGTCAGTGCAGGAATACTAGTTAACCCCTACTGGTCAGTGCAGGAATACTAGTTAACCCCTACTGGTCAGTGCAGGAATACTTGTTAACCCCTGCTGGTCAGTGCAGGAATACTAGTTAACCCCTACTGGTCAGTGCAGGAATACTAGTTAACCCCTACTGGTCAGTGCAGGAATACTTGTTAACCCCTGCTGGTCAGTGCAGGAATACTAGTTAACCCCTACTGGTCAGTGCAGGAATACTTGTTAACCCCTACTGGTCAGTGCAGGAATACTAGTTAACCCCTACTGGTCAGTGCAGGAATACTAGTTAACCCCTACTGGTCAGTGCAGGAATACTAGTTAACCCCTACTGGTCAGTGCAGGAATACTTGTTAACCCCTGCTGGTCAGTGCAGGAATACTAGTTAACCCCTACTGGTCAGTGCAGGAATACTAGTTAACCCCTACTGGTCAGTGCAGGAATACTAGCAGGTGTAAAGCCTCCTTCTCCTTTGACAGACAATTAAAAGTAGCCGTCTATCCTGACATGTAAGTGACACATAAAGCCGTCATCAGCTCTTCTGATCAGCTTGTGTACAGAAGAGGAAAAACATGCTAAACACAAAAAAATAAGATCCAACTGATCAAATAATCATCATTAGAGTTCGAACAGCAAAATAAACAGCCTTTAATCAATTTAAAATGAAAGAGAAAACATGGTTTTCATTCAATTATGATTTTACACTGACTCCTCCTGTAATTACATAGTTACACCTGTATGTGGCGCCAAATAACAAATGACAGTTTCTAGGACACATCTCTCAATCCTTAACTCAGTTTTCATTGAGTTCTCCTGAGCATCTTTTGAACGATGAATAATGTAGAGGATTTATACCAACACTCACGGCTCATCTGGGCAACAGATGGGTGTTAGTTAGGGTTAGTTAATGGTTAGTTAGTTCTGTGTTCAGTATTGTGATGACCGTGACATGTTCTTTGGGTAACTTCATGTGTAGTGGAACACGTCTGTAAGCGTGTGTGTGTGTGTGTGTGTGTGTTTTCCAGCTGGAAGACGCTCAGGTCAAACGCCTGGAGAGACTGCTGGAAAAACATCAAGATATTCGACAGCAAATCCTGGATGACAAACCGAAGGTATCGTGACGTGCATGTTTCTTTAAGATTAGACGTTTATTGACATGTTTGGATCTCTCCGGAAGTTTAGAGCACTGCAGAAACACACACACTCTCTCTCTCTTTCTCTCTCTCTCTCTCTCACACACACACACACACACACTCACACACGTTCAGCTGCAGTGTTTGTGTCTCCTCACTGTCACTGTTATTTTAGGAGGACGGCTCGCAGGAACTGAGCGGTAAGAGTTTCTGCATCCCAGTATTCAGTTCATCACAAACATCCATCTGACATTCACACACTCAGTTTCTGAGCCGCTGAGATAACACACAACTCTGCATCATACCGGCCTCATCCAATAACCAGCTTACTGTGTGTGTGTGTGTGTGTGAGAGAGAGAGAGAGAGAGAGAGTGTGCTAATGTCATTTTAGTTGATATACAGCATGTATTTGTCTTCGTTTGTTTTTTATTTTTGCATTTTGTTAAAATGATCATAAGTTCATCAGAAATCATCATCCTGTCATCATTTACTAACCCTGAACACAAAAGGAAATACTCTGAGGAACACCGGAGCCATTGACTGTCCTGATGGACAGAAAAACTAAACACGAAACACCGAGACATTCCTCAGAATATCATCTTTTGTTTTTCACAGCACAGATTTGTGTAAATGATGCATGAATGATATATATATATAGTATATGTTTGGGTGGACTGTTACTTGAAGAGAAAAGCGCTGTTTACACTCATAGAAACTGTTCTTCTGAGAACATGAGCTTCTTGAGGATGAGGATGAGACGGCCACTGATGAAGGCTGGTGTTTCTCTCTCTCGCGGTGATGTTTTGGAGTGTTTAATCAGTTCAGATCCACCAGAGGGCGTCATTGAGCTGTTAAACACTCACACACATCAGATGAGAGACGGACGCTTCACCACGGACTGGAATATGATGAAGATCTTTGCGTCCCCTTCAGATTCTCGTGATTACTGGAGTTATTCTGTGATATGGGTTTCAGAGCGTACAGATCGAGGACAACACTGAACACGTGAAGAACAGGCAGCGGTTCTGAGCTTCATTTGTGCTGGTGTTCGGATCAACACTGGTTTGAAGTTAAAGCAACCAGGACGAGCTGAAACATGAGCGAGAGAGAGAGAGAGAGAGAGAGTCCTGACCTATTTTTATGCCTTGGATCAGGCACCAATGGACAGCTATAAGCATCCTGGGTCTTCAGAGACCAGCAGAACCTTCTCAGATTCAGAGATGAAGTCTGCAAACGGGCAGCTGGTTTGACTTGTTCTGCCAGCAGAGCCTATCTGAACCTCTCCTCCCCAAACCTGCGGTGGAGGGACACAACAGTCTCAACACTGATAGTCTAGTCTTCCTTATAAATGCAGATTGTTTCCACGCAGCTTCACCGTGACACAGGTGTTGTTCAGCTGATCTGTTCCGATGTAAAGATCATCAATTATTCATTTAGTTCTTTCATCTGTACAGCAGTTCTGTAGAAACAGAGATGTCATCATCAGCTCAGATCAGTAATACTGCTGTATATTAAGTGTCCTCGACTAAGCAGACCAGAGACGCCAGTGGAACCCGAACTCCATCAGTGACACAACAGAGAAATACATTCACATTTATTCATTTAGCTGACGCTTTTATCGAAGCGACTTACAATTGCTATATATGTCAGAGGTCAACTAGGGGTTAAGTGTCTTGCTCAGGGACACATTGGCGTCTCACAGTGGATTCGAACCCGGGTCTCTCACACCAAAGGCATGTGTCTTACCCACTGCGTCACCACCACCCTTTTGCATTTAGACTGCACTTTTAAAACATTTTTCCATTGTCAGTATGAACACTACTTGAACTATTTCTACTAAGAAGCGGCATAGAGTAGTGCATAAGCACCTTTTGAGAATGTGTTGATGTTTAAATAGAAGCTGCTGTCACACCTCAGTGTGTGTGTGTGTGTGT